CGGGATGGGGTCCAGGAGACCTGTTGATGATTTAGATGAAGCAATTGTTGAGGTCAACTCAGAGGGATCTATAGGGGAGAAGTAGTCCAAGTATAAATGAGGTCTTACAGATGTTTCTAAAGCCATTGTAGTAGATGGCACATCTGCGAGAGCTGTGGGAGTGGTCCGACCAATTTTTTCTCTAATAGTTGTGATTTTATTTGTAAAGAAGCTCATGAAGTCATTGCTGCTGAGATCTAAGGGAATGTTAAGCTCAACAGCACTGTGGCTCTTTGTCAGCCTGGCTACAGTGCTGAAAAGAAACCTGGGGTTGTTCTTATTTTCCTCAATCAGTGATGAATAAAATGTGGTTCTGGCACTATGAAGGGCTTTCTTATATGTTATTAAACTATCTTTCCAGGCTATGAAAAACTCTTCTGACTTAGTGGAGCGCCACCTCCTTTCCATTTTTCGTGATGCCTGCTTTAGGGAGCGGAGCTGCGAGCTGTACCACGGGGCTAGCCTCCTCTGTTTCACTACCTTCTTTTTCAGAGGGGCAATGGTATCAAGTGTATTACGCAGGAAGGCTGCAGTACTATCAACAAGATTATCGATTTGTGTTGGAGTAAAGTTAAGGTGGCCTCCTTCCACTGTGTTGGCAAACGGCACTGAAGTAGATAAAGATTGAATTATTTCCTTAAACTTGGTAACAGCATTGCCAGATGGACATCTGCTGTAGTGGAATTGTTTCCCACATAGAGTATAATCCATTAATGGAAATTCAAAAGTTATTAGAAAATGGTCAGACAGAAGAGGGTTATGGGGAAAAACTATTAAGTGTTCAGTTTTGATGCCATATGTCAGAACCAGATCAAGAGTGTGATTAAAACAGTGAGTGGGTTTATTTAGTTTGAGAGAAGCCAACTGAGTCTAATAATGAACAGAATGCATTGTTGAGGCTGTCATTGTCGGCATCTACATGAATATTAAAGTCGCCTACTATGATTATTTTATCTGTACTAAGCACTAAATCAGACAGAAAGTCTGAGAATTCACTTAAAAACTCTGAATAAGGAGCAGGTGGACGGTATACAATAACAAACAGAACAGGCTTTTGAGTTTTCCAGTTTGGGTGTGAGAGACTCAGGGTGAGACTTTCAAATAAGTTATAACTATGTTTAGGTCTAGGGTTGATTAATAGGCTTGAGTCAAAGATCGCTGCCACACCTCCAACTCGGCCTGTGTTTTAAGGGATGTGAAGGGGGGGGTTGTGTGTCTACATTTCAGCTCTGTGATAGACTGGCGACCTGTCCAGGGTATACCCCACCTCTTGCCCAATGTCAGCTGGGATTGGCTCCAGCCCCTTGCAACCCTGTTCAGGAATAAGTGGTGTAGATAATGGCTGAATGGATACCCATCATTACCTTTAATGATAAGTCTTGTACCTCTAAAATTGTAGGCAACCTCTTAATATTTATGATGCTACAGTGGCTTCCTGTTTTGCAACATTGTTTATTTGTGAAGTTTTGTAACAACTAATTAACACATTAGTAAATTCTTTATTAGCTACAACATTTAAGTTTTAATGGTGTAACCAGATTAATTAAATCTGGTTACACCATTAAAAACTAGTCACTAGTTACTAAGAGTTTAGGAGGGACTTTGAACACAAACCTATGAATATCTTCTATTGTTGCCTTTTTAGTTTTTCTGTCGTCTGACCTTTTATTAAAGTAGATAAAGTCATTCAGTGCCTGACATTAAAAAACAGGACTAAAATACTAGACAGTTGAGCTGTATGGACTGTATATTTTTCCATAAGCAGGTAATTTTCACACGCATTTCATGCATGTTGTTTTTGCAACATAGCATAGATTACACATCATATTTTGATGATGAATGCCCAGGATCCATCAGAGACATACTAGTAAACTGCAGAGTAGACGTTCTGTAATCCTTTCTCCTGCCTCTGTGTCCACCTGTGTCCTGTTGGTATGTCTGTGTGCATGTTTGTGTGGCATGTGCCCGGTCCCATCATCTTGGTCTTGCTGTATTAATCTATCGTACTTTTTCTCTT